GGCTTTCCATGCTTTTCATTACTTAGGTGCTGAAAATGGAAGCAGTAGTTTCTGTGAGGTCTTTGGTTGCATTTGGCATGGAAAAATTCTCCCATTTTTGAGGGAGAACTTAGTGTGGAGCATGGCTGATGGCCAGTGTAGTGAGAAAGGCAAGCTGAGTCCTTGGGTAAATTGCTGTACATCCTTGTAAGAAATGCAGGGAAAGTACTGTTGTGCTGTCTGTTTGTGCTGAAGGAAAGCTTTTCAGTCCTAAAACGTTACTCAAACATTCTTGCTTTCTTCCCCAGATGGGCCAGTGATACTATTTATAAGGAAAAGTTGTTACACTCTGCTCTTTAGGAGATGGTTTTGCATCCCAGTGCAGCACACCATGCCAGGTGGCTGGCTGTGCTCCTGCTTTTGGGATTTTTATTTTAATTATTTGTATCTGTCCCTTGCTGGAGGATTTCTGCTCCAGGACTCCTCGGTGGTCAGTGATGTCTTGAGCTGACTGGAGTCTCTGGACTTCAGCAGCATCACACATCCCTCGGCAGCCACCAGGGGCCCACAAGGTGGCCGCCGCAGTTTCCAGCTCTGGCTGTGGCCCGAGGCCATTCTGGAGTGTTGGCAGGCGTGGCAAGTTTTCATCCGCCCAGACAAAAGTGCTTGCAACCTCTTTGGGAGTGATTGAGCATTTCTCTTTTATTACACTGGCGTCGTGGATGCTTTGTGCAGAATTACTGGCATGTAACTCTCTCCTTAGCCTGTGAAAAAGCTGCTGTTGCTTTTGGATCTTGTAGATGGGAGTCAGGGCTGTCCATGCACATTTCTTCTAGACGTTGTCCAACACCTCCTTCAGTCCTAACTGCCTGCCAGTCTCAAACCCCACAGAATACAACACAGTATGGATATAGTTCTAGGTCAATTGCATTCATAAGCACTCTCCCCCAATAAAAATTATTCTTACCCTAAATTTCTATGTAATTTCCCAAGTAATAAATGGGGAAATAGTGACCCACATGCAATGAATTGTCAGTGATTCCCTGTGACCACCAAGGTCATTCAGTGGATGAAGTTTTGTGGAATGTGTAGCATGTTGGTGTGTCTAAGACATGATCAGAGGGGCCCATTCGTATGGATTTAATGAACTTGTGCAGCTCCTTTTTGTTAAGGAAGTGCCAGTGGTAGGCCATGACAGGTTCCTCATGCAGTGTAAATCCTGTTTTCTTTACATGACCAAAAACAGTTGGAAAGAACCTTGTTCTTTGGCAAAGGCAGTTTTAATTAGCACAATCACTCTTTAAGTGGTAATGTAGAAGCTGCCACTGTGAGATGTGTGTTAGAGTAGTTTGGGGTGATTGGTAATCATCTGCCCAGAACTTGTCCGGCACAGTGTTGCTAAGTTTTGCAAGGGGAGGTCTGTTTAGAGGTGATTATGGACCTCTAAACATGGCTGGTGCAGCATCATCTGTGAGCTGCTTTTGGCTGAAGGGTGTCAGTGGGTGAGGGAGGGAATAACAGAGCTCTGCCTTTGCCCCAGGCCATGTGGGTGTGATCTGTACGTCTCTTCTGTGACTCTGCAGCAATGGTCTCAGAGGTTCCATCCTCTGGATAGCTCCCAAAACTGCCACTGAAGAAGGTATTATTTCTGATACGTGCAATGTGATGTAAACTTTCACAGAAAAAAAGAGGACACTTTAATCTGACAAAGACCCATTGTGTATTGGTAGAAAGTACTTGTCAGAAAGTACTTCTCTTAAAGTCTCAGCCAAATGAATTGGACTATTTGAGATTCTTCTGCCATCTTCATTACTAGCAGTGGGGCAGCAGTGTGCTGCACAGGACAGTGCTCTAAGCATTTTTTATATCGCCTGCTTGTGACAGCTGAGGCTGAGACAAGTCACTGTTTCACTTCTCTGGTATTCCATCAGCTGTGAATTTGTGGTAGGGTGAAAAATACCAAACTGGTGTGGAACTGACTTCTGCTTCCTCTGATGCTGTTAGAGAATAGGGAAAGGATTACTGTCTGCTTTGCAAATGGGCTTTGTACTTAAAGTAATGTTATTTTGACTTCTGTGTTCTTAAGGATCTCTGAACTTCATTCAACATTTCATAGGGTTGCTGTGTAGCTTTAGATTATCTCATAGGATAACTTCATTAAGCTAAATTAGTTAGAAAGGGGAACAGAAACTGGCTAATAGGTCATGTCAAGCTCTAAGAGAAAATGTACAAGATTCACTAATTAGAAGCTTGGTAAATTCATAATGTAATTAATTCTCCTGACATCAAAGAAATAATTCAAGCTTAGGCCTTGGTAAAGTTACTAAAGCTACAGACTGAAGGACAGCTGCATTAGCAAGAGATGGTCTAATTCAAACAAGACCTCAAGTGGCAGGACCTGAAAAATCTGGCTTAGGTGGTAGTTCAGGCTGGGTATTCTTTTTGTCCCTGACCCTACAGGTACTACTGTTTCAGCTCTCTAAGCCTTCAGCTCTAGCTTTGACTGTTGTACTCCCTGTGCCTGTAGTCAATACAACTGTGAACCCTCTTCACTTCAAAGTTTGTACCCCATAAATACATGCTGAAATCCTGGAGTTTCAGTCTTTGTTTTGATGCACTTTTTGTCTTTAAAATTTTTTAACAAATCTTTCTCATATCTCATTTCATAACCTGTTTCTCAAATAAAGGCAATTGGCTTTCTTTTCTGTCAGGTGAAATACCCCAGCTTTTTCTTGTGTGCCTCTGAAAATAATTTAGATGTGAGAACCCATTTTCTTGAAGACTGAGCATCATTTTCAACATCATTCTACATTCAGGACACTGCCTTTTCCTCCCCCTGCTCCATGAAAATTAAATAGTGTATGTCTCCTTAAGGGCCTGTGAAACAGAAACAAAATAGGCTTTGACTTTGCTGAGCTGACAAACGACATTTTTTTGATTAGAGATAAACAGAATAATTAGTATATTGCCTCTCCTGAAAGTAATGCCTTGTTAGTGCAGGCGTGCCCAGTGTGAACAGTAAGTGGCTTGGCTTTGCTCATGTTGTAACTGGGCCTCTGAGCTCACAAGCACTGGTTAGTGAGCTGTGGCTCCTCTGGACAGCTTTGCCTTGGTAACTGCAAGGTTGGCATCTTCTTGCACGGCTGCTGAAAGTTCAGGTTGAAACTTTTTTCCATTAGTGTGGTGATTTGTAGCTGGATGCACAAGAGGTGGGTCTGTGTTGCAGTGCCAAACTGAGCAGTTCTTCAGCCCTGTCAGGCGTGTGGCAGCCTCCAGCCATGCCATGGACAGGAGTGGACAAGATAAGGCCTATCTGCTTTTCTCCACTGTGCTTGTTAAGAGATGCCTTGGCATGGGGAGAGGGACAAATATATCTTAAATACTAATTCTTTATAGAAAGGTATCCAATTAGTACTCTCAAGTGTAAGGGCCCTCCTGAATTTAGGAGCTGAAGCCACCTTGACTGTTCCTTCACACTGGTGCTTCTGTGATGACACTATTTGTGAGAGGGAGGTGTGATCTAAAATCTCTCTGTGTGGGTAAGAAGCTGACTCTCACACAGCCCCAGTTCTCCTGTGCTGGAACTGGCTCTTTTGCTTTTGCAGACTTTGAGCAGAATGACTGAGCTTTCTGATCTTTTTGGGAAACTGTAAGTGGGGAGAGGTCAATTAAACAGTTTGAAATTCTAGGATAATGAATATTTAGGTTTTTTTACTAGAGGAGGGGGGAACAGACCAGGAAACTCAGAATACTTGACAGCTTCAGCATGTATGCCTGTGCAAGGGAAGAAGGGGACTATTTCCACATGAGGTGGAAGAGGTGGTTTCAAGTTCCCATCTTTAAGAAAGGGATGCATGTGTAGGACCTGCACCTGGTTTTGTCGCACGTCTCTCAGAATTTATCACGTGTGAAAGACAAATGACCACATAATGAAGTATGAGACCTTGAGCAGGGAAATATTAATGGACTTGGTTCCACATACATTTAGACAACCCTATCTGTTAAAATAGAGACTTCATCCTCCCCCAGCCTTTGGCTCATGGAAGACTGTTAAGCTGGATCACACTGTAAGAAACTAATAATTGTTAATGTGGATTTTGCAAGATCTTGCAGTTTTACATTCACATTCCAAGTACTGCTGCTTTCCTTTCTGCATTAAAAATGTGGCCTACTAAAACACTAACAAATGTGACACATTTTCTGTTAGCGAGGAAGTCACTGACACTGCTATTTTTAGCATGCCAGAAGGCTAATACAAAGTTCTAATACAATAAATTTAGTTGCCAGTATTAAAAACAGAACATGAAGGGTTAATGAGCATACAGGAGGCAGAGTGTAATGGCAGCTTACAGAAATTGTCTCCACCCAAAAATGCAGCATTTTCAGTCTTTCAAATACAGCATTAGACATTTAATTGCATCTCTTTTATTTCAAATGCAGGATAATTCCCTGAGAAAGCAGTTTTTTACTTAAATAAAACTTTTCCAGAACTTAATCATGTGGAAGAAGTTCACACAGCTGACAGTGAGCTGGAGATGACACATTCTTTGGCCCAGGGAAGTAGTGTAGTGGTCTGGCAGGTGCTCTTGGACTGTTCATTTCCAAAGCTTCACCCTGTACTGTCACCAGCCTCCTTCAGCACTGCTGTCTCCCCCACCTCTGCATCTCCTCCCTGACTGATCTCTGGGGTTTGAGTTCCTCTTTGACTGTGCTGCCATGAAAGGGATTTTTCATACTTGGTCTTAAAAAGTAATCCATGACCTGAAAAAGCAGAAGGGGAAAAAAACCCCAAACCAACATCCTGAAATGAGATGACTACAGTGGTAAACAGAATACCTCATTCCTTATAAAGAATGGGTCTTTACAGACTGGAAACTGCATCCTGAGGCTTTGGAAGCAGGAGCAGTGACATACAGAGAAGGAAGAGCAGTCTTTTAAAGTGGTACTACAAACTTTTAGATAGCATGTAGCATTTTAGGTAGTATGTAGATTTTAACACCCACCTACACCCCATAACCCAAAGATTAAGTATACATGGGAGATGGATAAGATGTTTGCTTGATGCCTGGTAAGGCCAGATGCACTCACCTGGACAATCTGCTACCTCCTTGAATGCTCTTTTCTTACAGCATCCTCGGCACATGTTAAACACACATTTAGTGCCCTGGGTTGGGACAGCGATACAAAGAAGCTTGTGTCAGTGAAAATAAAATTGTTACTGTTTACTATAATAAGTAACAATACAGCTCTGCACTTTCAGATCTTTGGGAAAAACCCATGTACTCAGCCTAATGAAGATGATGGAGTTGATGTCACATTGGGTGCTATCTGCTGTTTGCACATAAAGAACAGAAAAACCCCAACCAACCAAAAAAAACCTCCACATTCAACTTGTGCAGCCCCCACAGCCTGTTGGGCAGCCTGAGTTACCCACCACAAGCAGCCACATGCCATAAGCCCTCTGCAACAAGCATGAACACATTTGGAGCTTGCTCTAGTTCTCTGCAGCATGAAACACGGTGCTCCCATCTGCAGCTAGGCCTATAATATGTTACCACCAGAATTACTTCCCTACTTGCATCTTAAAACACACCTGCATATTTATTAAAGTATAATGTATGACCCTTAGGGGACAGCAGCAGCTGAGTCTTGGCTAACTGATGAGGTGGCAAAACGAGCCTCGGTCTCCGGGGTGCTTTGCTCACACGCAGTTTAGAAAAGGGGGTTGAGATTGTTTACCCTGATTCCCTTCACCCCAGTCAGAAAATCCTTCATGTTTAGGGAGGCTTTAGTTGAGCTCCTTGTCCTTTTTCTTCTCCGCACCCCCACACCCCCCCACCACATTTCATGACATAGCTCAGAAACACATAATCTAGGGGAAAAAAAAAATAATTACAGGACTAGTCAGAAGATTTCAAGAGCTACCTGCAACTTTACAGTGATGCAACAGCAAAACAAAAATAAGTCTTTAAGCCCTGGTGCAGACGGTCTTGGTTTACGCACCAAGCATAAACCATGTCAAACCATGTCATTTGGATTAGCTATGAAACAGGATGGCTTTGAAAGCAGGCCAGCCTAGTGCTCAGTGCTTTCCCAATAAGGAACACAGCAAAAAAATCCCATTTTTTTCAGTAGCTTCAAATTGAGCCTCAGCTGGCTGCCACTGCTGTGCTGCAGTAACAGCCTTACAACAGGGAGCAACATCACGTGCCTGCGTTGCAGGCTCCCGCGCCCCCTGAGGTGCACGTAATGCTAATTTTTAAGCTAGAACACAAAATTACTTGCATCTTACACCCCACTTTACAGTTATATTAGCAGCAATAAATACACTCTGCTTACACAGCAACACCACCCTGCCAAGCAAACAGCTATGTTTACCAAGGGAAAAAATAAACAAGCAAAAGCAAAATGAACTCTTTGCAAATATAAAAATATTTGAAATTTCAATACAGAACCTGTAAAACCAGCTGCCTCATTTCACATTGCTAATAGTGAAAGTCAATGTTAATCTATTGCAAAGGCAGGACTGAGGATGAAGAGGTGCTTAGGCTTGTTTTGATAAAGGTAGACATCAAAACAACACAAACCAGAGCTGCAGATGCTGTCTGACACTTACTGCAGGCTGTACTGTGATGACATTTACACTAAGAACCATACCAGTTATTCAAACTTTCCCTTTGCAGAAAAACTCCACCCACCACTAACACCAGTAAGAGGTGGTTTGTTTTTCATTTCACAGTAAAATATGCATGTCATACATGTGTAGAAGTCTGGAGATTTGTTTCCAAGATATCTTTGGAAATTTGATTAACTCACTCAACTGGTTTAGCAATAAATACCCTCAGCAGCAGCAGGACTGCACTTTTTTGGAGAGGAAGGCAAATTCTCTCAAAGAACCTATGTATGTTAAGGATTTTTGTGCAGCACCTTCAACCTCAGATACTGGTTACAGTTAACAGTTAAAAAGCTTTAGCCCAAGTACGGACTTTCCTCCACACACACACACACACACATTATCAGCAGGACTTGGCCTGCACCTGTGTGACTGGGCACTGGCACGGACCTACCTCAGGATTTGGAATAACAGAATAGAATCAGGATAGTTTGGGTTGGAAGGAGTCTTTAGAGGTCATCTACTCCAACCCCCTGCAAAGAGCAGGGACATTTTCTACTAGATCAGGTTGCTCAGAGCCCTGTTCAACCTGACCTTGAATGTTTCCAGGAATGAGGCATCCACAACCTCTCTGGGAAACCTGGGCCACTGCCTCACCATAAAAAATGACTTCTAATCTAAGGTGCATCTAGTCTGAATCTACTCTCTTTAAACCCATCACCCCTTGTCCTACTCCAACAAGCTCTGCTAAAAAGTCCATTGCTGTCTTTAAGTCCCCTTTAGGCACCGGAAGGGGCAGTGAGGCTCCCCAGAGCATTCTCTTCTCCAGGCTGAACAGCCCCCCTGTCTCTCAGCCTGTCTCCTTGACAGAGGGATTCCATCCCCCAATCATCTCTGTAGCCTCCTCTGGGCCTGCCCTAACAGCTCCATGTTTCTCCTGCACCAAGGGCCCCAGAGCTGGATGCAGAGTGCCAGGCGGGGTCTCACAAGAGCAAAGGCACAAATCCCCCACCCCATGACCTGCTGTCCATGCTGCTTTTGATGCAGCCTAGAACACAGGGGCTTTCTGGGCTGTGAGTGCACATTGCTGAGTCATGAGCAGCCTCTCATCCACCAGCACCCCAAAGTCCTGGGCAGGGCTGCTCTCAAGCTGTTCCTGCCCCTAGCCTGGATTTGATACCACGGTTGCCCTGACCCAAGTGCAGAATCTTGCACTTGGCCTTGTTAAACCTCAGAGGTTCCCAGAGGCCACTGCCTGAGCTTGTCCAGGTCCCTCTGGATGGCCCTGTCCCTCAGGTGTGTCATCACTCCACTCAGCTTGGTGTCATCTGCAAATGTGCTGAGGACACTCTTGATCCCACTATGGTGACCTCAGTGGTGGAGACACTGAACAGTGCTGGTGCCAGCACAGACCCGAGGGACAGCACGTGTCACTTATCTCCATCCAGAGCCTGCACCATGGACATTTAATTTCCCTTTAACGGAAATGCTTTGATGGACGCTTGTACTGGCTTACCTTAGGGTTTCCACACTGATCACATTTTGCATACTTGGCTGAGAGAGAGAGAGAGAGAACTGATTTCACCAATGGTATTTTTACAGGTTTCCACACTGATCACATTTTGCATACTTGGCTGAGAGAGAGAGAGAGAGAGAGAGAGCTGATTTCACCAACGGTATTTTTACGTGGAAGTAAATAAAAAAAAAAATCAGAACAAGAAAAGCTTGGTGCTTTTCTAGCCAGAGTCCTTTTGAAATAAAACTACAGTACCTCAAATAACAGTGCAAAGCTAAAAAAACTTTGGATTTTTAAGTGCCTCTATGTTAAAATCCAAACATTGAAAATTTTAATCCTCAAGTCAAGCATAAAACAGGAGGACATCAGCTTGAAATTCATGTAAAATTTCCATTTCAAATGCTAGTGACAGCTACAATGCAGTTTGTAAACCATTTTGATCTTCAAAAGATGCTTAGAGAGAATCAGTGACCTACTACTTTGATCCTTGTTTCCTTTACTAGTGAACATTATTTGAATCATGCTGCCTGCTATTAAAATTTCAATAGCAACAGTTCCTCCTCTTTTCAAAGAAGTTTCTACAAGTACACAAGCCAGGAAAATTCTTAGCAGCAAGTTATGTCAAAGGTGGTATCAGCATATCTCCATACATTTATGCCAATAAATGAACTTACGTTTTAAAGATGGATCAAAGCTTTTATTTGGATTTCTTAACTTCTTTTTTTGTTTATTCTTTGAAAGAAGCTCAGAATTTCCATCTTCCTCTTCTTCCAGAGCACGTTTTCCTCGCACACCTTTTTCAGTTCCACTATCTCCATTCTCCCTGCATCTCTCCTTTGGCCTGAAACAGTGAATTTCATCATAAGTTGACTGAAGGGAAGAAGTAGCTCTTCCCTGACCATTATTTTGGTTTACAGAAATCTGGGTAAACCATAAACCTTTCTATCATGGCTATAATGAAGTGTCATTGCCCTCAGAAGTGGGATAGAAAAACCTATCTTCTTTGGTTAACACTGACAGTTAATAACAGACACACACACACTATATATATATATATATATATATATATATATATATATCTATATCTATATCAGATGTATCAGCTGGAAAGCCAATTAAAGTTGGTCAGCTAAATTAGGCACATTGGGTTCTTGTTCTCAGCTGCAGTGGGATTCCTAATTTTTACTTTCCAGAGAGAGAGAAATCTGAGGAGGATCCAAAGGAGAAGATGCAAACAATGAGCAACATCCCCACAAACAAAGTAATAACTAGGAAACATCTAAACTAGAATTAAAATAATCCAAAGTCATCTTCAGTCTTCACTTTTCCTTTTTTTTTGGTATGGGTGGGAAAGGCCTTTGAGTACCCGTAAGTATCAAAATAAGTAACTCACCCTGGCCTGATGTATGGCTGACAGATCCAGTGGAAAAAAGGCAACCCTTCTTTTGGCTTTTCTCCTTCTTTCTGATTAGCTATTTCTTCCTGCAGCATAGAGTTACAGTCAGTCTTCCTGGAGTTGTCAGAAAATACACTAAATAACACTTCAAACTCCAGGAAATTACAAACTGAAATTTAAGCTAACAATTACTGACAGTTACATATAGGCAAAAAACCCCATCTACTATGACATATGAACTGAAGCACATTTGTAACTCCTAAATCAACTTTATCCCACATAAAGTTGTCCAAGCTTAAGGGGATGCTATTGTAGTAAGCTACGAATATCGAGGTTAGTAAGCCACAAAGTCCCAGAGAAGTGACTAATGGATGTCAACTCCATGACATACTTGGTACATTCCCACCAAGTGCAGGCAGTGCTGTTCTGGGAGATTGGGGCCCATCTTGGTACCTGGCATCGCAGTTTCAGCTCTCTGTTGACATCTACAATGCCCTCTAGAGTCTTCACTTTTGCTAATTCTTCGCGCAGCTGATGGTAAACTTGAAGCCTGAGGCAAAGCCCAAACATCAGTTATATTTAGACTGCAGTCAACTAAAAATAACTGTATAAAAGCATTTTATACACTTCTCCTGATTCATTTGCCTTTGGCAGAAGCTTATATTCCTCTTTTTAAGTCCAGAGAAAAGCACACCTATGTCTCTTCCAGATAAACACTCAGCAGACAACCAAGGTACTTTGACATAAGCTAACATGAATGTACAGTGCATCAGCTGCTTCTCAGTAACTGCCCATAGCTATGCTCTTACTCCACAATAAATGCAACAGCACTGTGCCTCACCATGAACAAGGAGATAGTTAACTCGTGTTTGCCATGAAGTGTGTGCATGTGTGCAATTACCACACTGCAGATGGTGTGCTGTGAGATCACACCCTGGCTGATCTTGTGGCAACTTGTTCATTCCCCATGCCCTGTTTCCCAGATATGAAATAAAGGGTAAAGGCCTCAGCCCACACCCTCTCTAGCCAGGTCCAGGAAAGAAAACTTTGCAGCATACTCATTCTGGCTAAACAAATCCTTGTCCAGAAAGCCCAGACACTTTGTAAGCAGGACGAGTCCTGAAAACATTAAAGAGTTCTATGGAGATACTCACGTGTGATGCCAGAGCTTGAAGAGATGAGCCCTAACATAAGACAGTGGACAAGGGTACTTCCTCACGATCTCCAGATACTCCTCAGCCATCTCCCACACCAATGGATTCCGGCCCTCAAACAAAGCTGGATTATGAAGATTACCTTCTAGGGAACGAAAAGAAATACTCAAACTTTCATTTCAGGATTGAAACAAAGGCCAAAATCCCGGCTTGGGAGTTTGATCGTCTCTTTTGTGATTCTACACCCACAGACACATCACCCACGTACTCTCAAAAAGAACACAGGATCTGTAATACTCTAGCCTGACCTTGGGACACTATATTTCACTATGCCATTCCTAACTGCACTGAACAGCTCATATCTAATTGAAGTACTGTTTCTAGAAAGGCATCTAACCTTGACAGGAAGACAGTAAACCAATTAATAAATAGAGAATCACTGTTTTGTTGCCCAGTAATTAAATACTGAAATGACAGATGTCTTGCCTTATGTCTGTATTGATATTTGTCTGGCCCAAGTTCACAGACACAGCTTCTCACTGTGCTTTTCTCCACTGGCTTCACAAGCCTTTTGTTAACCAGTATTTTCTAAAACCAAGATTCTATAACCCTTCTTTAATTGTGTGAGTGATTAGAAGCTTTTCTGATGCTTATCCTAGCTCTTCCTGTAGGAAGTTATGTCAATTCTTTCTTGTCCCAACCCAACATGAACCACCTGCAGGAATATTAACCCACAGATGCACTTAGTTCATGGAGCACCACTCAACAACTGTTCCATTGATTAACAGATGTCACGTAAAATATTCCAGGACAACAGGAGCCCCATAATGCCTCCCATATGTCAAGTAATTACATTTCAGCTCAATGAGTTGCAGGTCCAACATAACGATTCCTTACCAGTCTTAAGGGATTCCTATTCTTGGTGTAAGATGAGGGAGAATGGCCACTCAGCTGTAAAGCAAAGCTGTTCACCAAGCCAATCTGACATAAGATTTAATAAATGGATATGGGACTGCTAAGGGAATAAGAAACAACTTGTATTCTCATCAGAGTAGAAGTTAATTTTCTTTACCTGCACTCATGACACCATGTACTCCTGTCTTACGGATGCATTCTTCCACATCACTGAGACACTGGATGTTTCCATTTGCAAATACAGGAATGTTTACAGCTTTTCTATTCCAATGAATAAAACAGATGCATAAAATTGAGAGTTAGAGTCAACCCAGAAATTCTCCTCCTATCACATAAATTTGCTTGCTCTTCAATGCCACTGCATACTCTATTTAAAATCCAGTATGTTATCAGGAATCACTAAGACTGGTACTGCTCACCAACCTTACAGCTTGAATGTGCTCCCAAGATGCCACACCAGCAAGTGGTCCTTTCTGTTCTTTAGTACGGCCATGCACAGTCAGCAGCTGGAACACAACATTACATTGCTTTCCACGTGTATGAACCACTGGAATCAATCCACTGAAAACACTTATTTTCACTCCCTACATTTCAGGGATGCCACTGATTTCCTGCTGCTATTTCAACAGTGCAGGGAGATTAGCAACACAGAAAGGTATCAGCAGCTCAGCTACTGTGGCATGGTCTTAGGCTCTTTTCATCTTGCTATTCCATGGCATGACAAGATTCTATCATGGGAGAACCTACATGTTTCCTTTCCTTTTCCTATTGGATTCCATTTGTGATTCGCTTTGCAATTTGTGATATATTGATCTAGCTTTCTCCTCAGCAGAAGGTCCAAATACTGTCAGTACTGTCTCTAACTATAGACCATCTCTTCCAATTTAACTGGAGTTAATACCTAGAAGGCTGCCTATTTCTTCTAGTGACACCTTTTGATACCCTTTTTCTTCTACAGTACTGTGGATTTCATGCATTCACACTTGCCTTCTGCAGCACTATTGAATACTGAGATGCTCAACCACAGTGAAGGATGCTGCACAGTGCACTGATTACAAGAGACTGAAATAATTTTGGTTTTCATACCACACTACTGACCTGGAGCCTAGGGCTGCAAACACACAGAATCTGTCTGCATCCTGTTTGCTCTGTCTGCAAAATAATGCAGCCTATTCATATCCACAGTATACCAAGAACTGGTCATCAGATACTTTACACAAAGATACATGTCCAGTGCAGGAGTAGAGGGAGCAGCTGCCTTCTTACCTGGCAGCCAGCTTTCTCCAGCATCTGTGCATACTTCACTGTCTTGTCAATGTCTGGGAAAACGCGGATTTTGCATGTGATGGGAACAGAGAGCTTCTCGTTAGCCAGTAAAACTGAGAAAGATTGAAAAGGCAGGTAAGTGGGCTGCACAATGCTATGAAAAGTGTCTGCTTTCCTCAAGATCTGATACCGGGTATGGTATGGAAAAAGCCTAAGAAGTTACTGCCATGCAGTTCTCACAGCTTAAAAAATCAGCAGTGTCCTCTGCAATCTTTACTGCATAGTTTAATCACATAACAATAACACACACATGAAACACAAAATCTGCATCCTAACAAGGTGGCACAAAACAGTCACCCATTTAATAGCCCTAACACTTCCACTGCATTAAGCCTTCACTTTCAAAGACCACCCCCTCACAACTTAATTATTGATACAAGTTTATTATCTTCACAGGATATTGTATTCCTCCCACATTAACACTTGCTTGTCTGCCTTTCCCACAAAAAGGTGCTTCACTTCTTTGCAACTTATCACCAGAAAAATCATTATAAGTAGATTCCTATCCATGGCAAGCAGAGGCTTATCAAGTGAGGTAGGCTATGGATGCAATCAAGTAGTAAATGTAGGTTATAGAGTCAGGGTGAAATCTAGAACATGGTAAACTCCCAGTCCCTACATAGTACATGGAATCACAAAAATACCAAAAGGAGAGCTAACAAAGAGAGACAACAGGAAAACACTGAGTAATGTTGTGTCTGAAATTCTCTTCTCTTCCAGAGCTTGGATATACTATGTAGGAAGTCACCTGCTGTCTTCTAATCCAAATCCTATGAGCTCTTAAGATTGATAGGTGCTTCCCATCACCCTTTCAAAGGAGGCAAGCAAGGTGTATACAGGTAAAAGCAGAAAAGAGTGCTCCACCATTTTAAAGGCAGCTGGGGAAAGGAGGAGGAA